AGTGATTTCCACTCACCTCATAGTTCTAGCCGACCTGTGACAATGAGACTGTCACAGGTCGGCTCAGTAGATCGGGAGGTGAGCGAACACATACCGGGTTCGCTCACCTCTCGATCCTGTCACGGCTCTCCGCTGACTGGCAGAACGGATGGGGGAGGGGGTGGTTACAGCTGGCTCTGCCTCTCGATAGGCAGAGCTGTCACTCACGCAGCTGGGCGGATCCCGACATCCAGGTCGGTATCCGCTCCGGCTGCGGCGTCTCAGCATACCGCGAGTATACTGAGCTTAGGGTAATGGGAGGACGCTAGTTTGTGTCCTCCCGTTACCCTAAGGAGAACTATGGGGAAAAACACTGACCCCATAGTTCTCCTTTAACTGGCATGAAGGGCAAAACAGTATTAAAACTGAACTCCAGGGTAAGTGAGAAAAATACATTTGCAGTGCTTCCCCTAACACTACATAGGTTAATGTTTATTTATTTTAGATGTAGAGGGATAAGCAGCTACACTTGCCTTATTCCTCACTCCCATAAGCTTCTTCTGTCCCTGAAGCTGCTTCTCTCACTACTCCCATGGTCAAAGGCATTCCGAAGCCATTACGTGCTATGCAGGAACATCAGTACAGTATTGTATGTGAGGATAGTGGGGGCCCACCCACAAGCTAGGAGCATCGGAGAGCACTGGCAGCTGGAGGAATAAGGAAGAAGAATAGTATACCTGGCATTTCCTCTCTCTCTAGATAAAACAGGCATATAAACCTTGCAGTAGGAAAGGAAAGTAGGGCACTGCATGGGTAATTTTTCATTAAACCCAGGGTTCAGCTTTAATATATAGTTAAAATATCTTCCTGTCTTTTGTATCCTAGGTAGTATGGAAAAAAATAGAACCTCTCTAAGGTTATTTTTTCTTTCTTTGACCCCATTGGGAAAACCTCCAGAATCTCTCCAACAAGGACACAGCAGTAAAAACCTTACCATTGGCCTCTCTTTGGTATTCGGATTTAATTTGTTTATCAAGTACATCTAAATCTGCTGGTACATCATACACTGCTATCTCTACTGGGTAACAATGCTGCTGTCCAAGGGTGGCTCCATTGCTCCTCAATAGAGTGCAGCCACCCTAAGACAGGAAGTTTGTTACTGGCTGAATCACCAGGCGGGAAAAAAAGTGAAAAAGCCAGAAAAAAAGGAAACAAATGCAGTCACCACATTTAAAGATTCGTCCAGCTGCATAAATTACAGTTTTGTTTTTAGGTTTAGATCAGCTTTAGGGTAAACAAAAACTGCAATATATCAATAAGAAATATATCAATAAATAAAATGAATCCTTCATCTGACGCACTCCTACTGTACTAAAAACAGAACAAATGAACTGTAATCTATGTTTTCATAATGTCTTGTACTCAATTGCATCATGTTGTCATATGATTCTGTGATGTGCAATTAGATTTTTATGCTCCAGTGTGTTGGCAAGGATCCAATGAGTTCAGACCGGGAACAGTGCTTGCAAACATGGAACAGTTGCACTGGAACCTGCCCTGTTAGTTGCCCAGAAGGATAAATATTGGTAGCCCTAGGAGCAAGACAGCCAAGTACAGAAGAGGAATGCTAGGATAAATATTAAAGTGAAGCTACCCTTATATGCAAATATTTTTCTTGTTCGGCCAAGTAGGATGAATGAGAGAAACCACTTTATTTCCCCATCCATGCTAAGAAACAGTGTGGATGGACAAATCTGCACTGCCAGCTATTGTATTCTGACAGGCAGCATCCACATCTGTCAGAGTACCAGAACAGTGACTGCTGCTGTTTGTCAGACTTTTTTCTGCCTGGCTTCTTCTATTTTCTATCAAAGTTTGTTGAGCCACGTGATGTCAGCAGCAGTGGTGTCACAAGGGGGTACGGGGATGCGACCCGGGTGCCACCATTGGAGGGGTGACACCAAAATGATTGACAGTCATTTTGGTGTCACCCCCTATGAAAAGTCAGGCACTCTGTCATGGACTGAAAGCCCGATAGTGTCAGGAGAGAGGAGGGGACATGGCGGCATACCTCATCCCACCAGGTGAACGTCCCCTCCTCTCTCTGCCGGCATCCATCACCAAGATGGACGCTGGCAGGCGTCAATAAGATGACCGTGCATGCATGATGACGTAATGAAGCAAACGCGTGGGGACATCACACGCATGCATGATGACGTCACAAAGGAGTGTCACCCCTTCTCCGCTCCGGGTGTCACCCAGCCTCAGGATGCTACAGGTTGGCAGGGCCACCCATGACTCGAATTTCGAGCATTTCACAGGAATCGGACAAAATTCAAACCGTTTATAGACAGCTTTACTCAGAATTAAGACTGTGAATACTTTCTTGAAAAGAACATTTGTATGTGTCCTTTGAAGAAATATATTGAGGGACAGAGAGATGTGCAATTAGTTTTTGCCAGTTTATTGTAAATTGCTGAGGGTTACTACAAAATGCTTGTTTGCATTATTAAATAAAAGCTTCTATGCTGTCTGTTATATCGGTATGTAGTCAGGTTGAAAATAGAGTTTAACCTTCCTTTTTCACTTGTGTGTTTTTACTTTCTCAGATATGGTTTATTGTCTTCAATGCAACAATAAGACTCATTGGTCTCCGGTGAATAGCACTGTCTGCTACCTGAAAAAGATTGAATATCTGCGCTGGGATGATGGCTTTGCAATTGTTCTCCTCCTTATTTCTTTTATTGGAATTTTTATTATTGTTGCTATAGCACTGCTGTTCACAAAGAATTTTGATACGCCTGTTGTCAAGGCATCTGGAGGCTTCCTTTGCTATATCATCCTCTTCTCTATTCTTTTAAGTTTTGTCAGTGCGGTCTTCTTCATCGGAAAACCAGAAGATATCAAGTGCAAAATGAGGCAGACTATGTTTGGCATTAGTTTCACAGTGGCAGTGGCATGCATTTTGTTAAAGTCCATTAAAATATTGCTAGCTTTCACCTTTGAACCCAAAGTGCAAAGTATTCTAAAGCGCCTTTACAAACCATTCACCCTAGTTTTTGTATGCACCGGAATTCAGATCATCATTTGTACTACTTGGCTGGTATTCTGGTCTCCATATACGCAGGAGAACTTCTCACTTCCCAAGACCATCATATTGGAGTGTGATGAAGGCTCTACGGTGGCATTTGGTATCATGTTAGGATATATTGCTCTCCTGACATTTATTTGTTTTATTTTTGCATTCCGGGGTAGAAAGCTGCCAGAAAATTATAATGAAGCCAAATTTATTACATTTGGCATGTTAATTTACTTTATAGCTTGGATAACCTTTATTCCAATATATGCTACAACATTTGGTATATACTTACCAGCTGTTGAAATGATTGTTATATTGATATCTAACTACGGCATTCTGTCTTGTACATTTCTGCCCAAATGCTACATTATCTTATGTAAACAAGACACAAATACCAAATCTGCTTTCCTTAAAATTATCTATAAATATTCGGCCAAAAGTGCCAGCAGCCTAACTGTTAGTCATGTATCCTCCAGTTCGTTGACATTACCCGAGGGCAGTACCACTGTGCCCAGCGTGTCAAGCAGGCCTTCTGTAAGTTGTATAAGTAACAGCTTTTCATTCCACGAAAGACTTGTAGCTGCAGATATACCTCCCACAAAAGCCAGATGCCTCCAAAGGAAAAGATTATCAAGCATTTGATGACAGCATTGACCAAAACATTTTATTGTATGGACAAAAAAAACAAAACATACTCCTGCAATTCTATATTCATCAAATACTGCAATGGTGGATTATAATAATCAAGCAGCTGTCCCATTTATCTGTGTGTTACCCTTGTAAGAAAGGAGATCCCTGAGGACAGAATGAATTAAAAACAGTGAATTAAAAGTTACCTATTAAAATACAGCTGTTTCCAACACGAATAACTGTCTGTTAAGGTCACGCAGCTATACCAGATTTCACCATTAAGTGAAGCTATATGTATATGGCAGAATTAAATCATGGCAAAATAGGGACCTGACTTGAGTGGAGACTGCCCCATGTTACTATGTAGAGCGGATCTAAATAATCAGCGAAATCCCTTTTAAGTCCATGTTTGCCTGTATAAAGTTACTTGTGGTTGATCAATACAATTTACTTATACTTTAAGATTTCATGAGTAAATATGTGTTAGAGATAATGTAACTGTAAATACTGTCCTCAAGTTATATTTATGCTTATGAGAAAAAGAGTTCTATCATAGAAAATGTGATATCTGCCTTACAAAGTAAATACATTATATGTAACAACAAGACCTGGAATATTATTAAAACAGGATAACAGACTTGATTTGTGCATTAACCACCTTTTTTTCAGTATATTTGTCAAATGTAAATATTAGTGGACTATTTAAAGAAACATTATAGGTCTTTACCTGGCTTTTTGTTTGGTCATAAGAAATAAAATGCTTCTGCTTACAAACAGTGAAAAACGTATAACATATATACAATATATATCAGACATTAGCTTGAGGTTTGACATTTTCCTGACAGTTAAATCTGTGTTTCTTACAGACTCACATTCATATATTGTATCTAAACTCCAAACCTTTTGTTTTGGATAGTGTAAAATAGAAGAACTTCTTTATGGCTGTCTGTGCCCCAACTGGGGAGATTCATCTGCTCCGTGTCCTGGTAACCACTGCCACAAATAAATCCAAGTTGTCACCTGAACCGGAAATGGAGGGGGCCAGTAAACTAATAACAATGGTCTGAGACCCCTTTTACTCAAGCTCCTGTTTTCCACCTCAGAAGGGGATTTATAGAATGATTCTCTGCTATGGTGGATCAGAACGGAAATACTGTAGATGTCACATACTGTGTCCATTCTATTTTTTTCCTACATCTAGTGATGGAGGAAAAACAGACCCAAGTAATCCGTATGGGTGGCTGGATGTAAACAGATGTGCATTGGTTGATATCCTTTTACAACTGTTTAGGATGCAGACTTATTGCATTTGGTCTGACAAACCTGAGCATACCCAGATGTAAAGAGACATCTATTGGGATACACCGCAGTCCATTTTTCTAATCACAGGATGAAACGTACTGATGGAATGCCTGTGTGAAATGGGCTTTAGAGAGAATTTCCATTATTACTTCCTATTTTGGCTAACAGCTGAAAGTGAAAGTAATTCTCCCTAGTAGGAGACAGATGGCAAAAAAAAACCTAACATGGGTTTTAACCATTCCCTATTATAACCCCAAAAAATGTGATATGTAGACATATTTTAGGACAGGTCTGATATCTACTATCTTACCGACAGTGTATATGTATACAGGTATTCCTCACTTAACGACCGAGTTCCGTTCCTACGACCCGGTCGTTAAACGGATTGGTCGTTAAGTGAGGAACTCTATACAGTACTGTACTGCATTAGTACAGTACTGTATAGCGTTGCAGATCTACAGTACCGAACAGTGTACTGTACATCGGGCACTGAAAATACTCACCAGGACCCGCAGTGAAGATCGGAGGACGTCACTTCCCCCGGCGTCACGTCGCACTTGCGCTGACGCGCGAGGTCGGAGGTCGCTCGGAGGACGGTCGTAAGTGCGAGTGGTCGCAAAACAGGTAAGTCGTTAAGCGAGGAGCATCTGTATATATATATATATATATATATACAAACACACACAACGATCAGCCATATGACTACGCATCTAATATTGAGTAGGTCCCCCTTTTGCAGCCAAACAGTCCTGACCCGTCGAGGCATGGACTCCACTAGACCTCTGAGGGTATGCTTTGGTATCTGGCACCAAGCGATCAGGAGCAACTCTTTTAAGTCCTGTAAGTTGCGAGGTGGAGCCTCCATAGATTGGACTTGTTTTTCCAGCACATTCCACAGATGCTCGATTGGGTTGAGATCTGGAGAATTTGGAGGACAAGTCAACACCTCAAACTCGTTGTTGGGTTCCTCAACCCATTCTGGAACTATTCTTGCAGTATGGCAGGGTGCGTTATCCTGCTGATAGAGATCACTGATATCAGGAAATACTGTTTGCATGAAGGGGTATACTTGGTCATCAGCAATGTTTAGGTATGGTGGTCCATGTGAAAGTAATATCCTTATGAAAGCAGGACCCAAGGTTTTCTGGCAGAACATTGTCTAAAGCCTCACACTGCCTCCACTAGCTTGCTTCCTTTCCATAGGGCATACTGGTCCCATCTCTTCCCCAGGTAAGTGACACACACTCGGCCATTCACATGATGTAAAGAAAACATGATTTATCAGACCAGGCCACCTTCTTTCACTGTTCCATGGTCCAGTTCTGATGCTCATGTGCCCATTATAGGCTACGCAGCCCCATATGCAACAAACTGCGATGCATGGTGTGTTCAGACACCTTTCTCTCGGAACCAGAGTTAACGTTTTCAGCAACGTGAGCTACAGTTGCTCTCCTGATTGTCAATAAACATAGATCCGTTATTGAATCTCTTTTTAACCTAATTAGAGGAGGGGACTGTTTTAAGTTGGAGGAAGGTATAACAGATTTCTACTTTGGAGACCAGAAGTTCTTAAGGG